GAATTGTTCGCGGGCATGGATGACTTGACCGTGGACTATGAGGAAGACGACGAGTAAGGTGGCGCAGCTCGCACTGATGGTGCATTGAAAAGTGACCGTGCGTAATCGATGCGACAGGAGATTGTGAAGTCGTCGGTTGGAAATGCATGTATTGACTTGAATTGGTTGACTCGATTACTTCTGCGAGGCCTCAGCACGAATCATCCAGCGTGAAGTACGCCCTGCCTCGGTCGCCCTGACACGTTTCATCGCCAGGAAGATGCCGGGAAGACCTGTATTGCCTTGTAATAAGTGCGTATCTGCTTGACGCTTTGACTCAATTTTCCGTGGCACCTTTCCTTGACCTCGGCTTTGACGAATACACTCGAGCTGCGAGGTTAGAAGACAGGTCTGATGCAACTGCAGATGCTGAGCAGTTCGAGTAAGCAGCAATACTAGCACGAGCTCGCTTCATCTGATGTGAAGCTTGAAACGGAACGGCACGCCTTCCTCAATGGCTCGTGTTTCAAACAACGTGTTTGCGGGAATAGTTCGCCGGGTGCCCATGCGAGGCGATTGTTGAACGAATAGAAGCTACAGAAGTGTAGATGTGTGAAACGATGTAACTGCGAAGGTGCTCAGTGTATGCCGCAAGCGAGCAGCGATTCTCCCGGGGATGTCACCTCTGCATGATGCGAATCATGAGAAGTGGGAAGTATGCGTTGCAACGACGCACTCGCAATGTGGTCAATGTACAACTGTGGAGACGGCGTGCCACTTCCTTCGTCAGCATCTCTTTCCTCGATGGTATTGGGACTCGCGGTTCGCGTGTTATTTATTCGTAATTTATTGCACTTGATCATTGTCAAGTATACTGTTTCCTCCCGACCCGGTGCGAGCAGCGTAGTCAGTGTCCCTCGACCACATATGGAAAGTCAGGTTATGTGCTGCGCGTCGAAGTCCTTAGACACCACCGTACTGGCGGAGGCGATGGATTCACAGATGCCATCATTGCCGGCTCGATGGTTTGGAGGCTCGAAATGACGCGTGTGTTGGTCGCAATTGATCAATCCCGTATCGTTCAACCCGTCGATGTCTACGGTTCATAACCGCTCGACCAGTGGATGTCTGCGATACAGACATCGCTCGACTAGTGGATCTATATATCTACGATACAAGCAGTAGCGTAGTCAACTCACGTGTTATGCATGTAATGGACATGATCAAGACCAAGCGCTGGCTACCCCGCATCGACTCGAGGTGCACGTGCGTCGGAAGAACGATGAACAGGGTGTCGGCGAACCAGCCAAACGTGCTTAATGTACTGTAATTGTAGTGGTCGAAGTCAGCGGCGCGAGTGGGAGTGGCTTCGGCTACGGGTAGTTCGCTAAGGCTGACAAACACGATCAACGACGCCCGCCACTTGAGCACTGGCAGTTCGGCCACTCTGCAACCGCTTCCTCCTCGGCTTCCTCCATTTCAAGACTATACACAGCTGCTGTACTAATTGCCACTTTCGACCGCGTGCTCGTAAGTTAGTCGTAGAACTCCGCAGCATGGCGTGGAGCGTCGCTTTGCTTGAGCTCTTGCTTTATCTGGTGCTCACCTGAAACGTCCATCATATACTGGTCGTCCTCCTCACGGTCCCGCGCAGTAGCTTCCTTTTCTTCTTGTATACGCGCTGACGGCGGCGCAACCGTAAAGGGAACACTAGGAACGGCCTCGATCTGGCGGAGGTTCTCGTGGATAGAACGCTTGATATCATCGAGGTATGCTGGTGTGTTGAGGTTCTCCATGTTGCTCACAGGCAAGTGCAGGCGGTACTCAGGGCCATAGTATTCGAAGTAGTCGTTGTACGGCATCGCGTCCGGGATATCGACGCCCACTAGTAACGAAGCCTCGTAGCACCAGGCACGCGCGACATTGCGTAGTGTGTAACCTCCGCCGCCAACAACGAGAGTAGGAATGTTGAAGCTCTTGACATAAGCCACGCAGTCAGCATGGCCTTTGGCCGACAAGTTGAAGCTGCCAAGCCGGTCACCCGACAGCGAGTCTGTACCACATTGTAGTAACACAGCACCCGGTGCAAAGTGCTCCATAACTTTTGCAATGACGCTTCGAAAAATACCCGTAAAACTCTCGTCGTCCATACCGTCGCGGCAAGGGAAATTCACCGCGTAATGCTTACCGTCCCCGTAGCCGATATCCTTGATATCTCCTGTACCAGGGAAAAATTCCCCGTACTTGTGGAACGAGCACGTCATGACGCGGTTGGTGGTGTAAAAGGCCTCTTCGACGCCATCGCCGTGGTGGATATCAATGTCGATGTACAAGACGCGCTGGTGGGTCTTCAGTAGCTCCAGGATACCCAGCACACAATCGTTTACATAACAAAAGCCGGACGCCTCAGAGCGCTTGCCATGGTGTAGTCCACCCGAGTAATTTATAACAATATCAGCCGAGCCCGCGTTCAACTTGGCTGCACCGCCGATTGTAGCTGATGCGTAGAGCTGGCAGAACTCGAAAAGACCATCAAAGACCGGGCAGTCCTCACCCACGTTAAAACGCTGCAGCTGGCGCAAGTACTCGTGCATGTTGTCCGGCGTGACGAGACGCAGAAAGTGGATGTAGTCGTCCGAGTGGAAGCGAGTGAGTTCTGTCCAGTCCACGAGGCGAGGACGCTGTCGACACACCAACGAAGAAGCAGATAACGTTAACTTCGTGCAGTGCATACACTTGCAAACAAAGCGATTGCGCAGGGCGTACATAGACTTCCATGTGCTTCGTGAGGCCGTAGTTCGTAATGAGGTTGTGCGCCATCCGCACGCGATGAGGCTGCAGGTCACACATGCACGAGAGTGGGAGAAAGACACGAGAGAGAGTCAGCAAGTTGCAACAGACGAGACGATCGCGCCACCGTATGTGGCTACCACATGTCGCAGCAATACCTTCATCGGATGGTTCTGCCCGTAATGGTAATTGCCGATCTCCGCTGTTGCGTCAACGCACGAGAGGAAGTTGCAGAGCAAAAGACACGAACGTTGTTATGGTAATCAGATGGATACGCTGCAACGACCGACAGTCGAAACGTCAGAGCAAACGCAGGAGACCGTACAGTCATAGAAGTAGGCGACGCGGCGCTTCGATGCGACAGTCCCACCGCTCGTGAGCGCCACGGAGCTGCCATTGGCGCTGCTCATGATCCTACTGCCTGCACTCGTCCGACTCTCGCTCTCGGTGTTTCTCGATAGCACTTAGGGGGAGCACTGTATGTGGTGTGGTGCACGTGAACTGGCGTGGCAGACCGCATCGACCGCCAAATACTTCCGCAGCCACCCAAACCAGAAGGTCTTGAGCAGCAGCCAATCGCCTTGTCGGAAAAACGACGTGCAGCACGTCGTCACACCACTAGTCGATCGAACGATCGCAGACAACCCGACGCCGCAGCAGGAGATGGCGGAGAAGACGCACGAGGCGACGGGACGCGGCCCTCAGCTTGCCGAAGATGTCACGGAAGAGCTGGCGCAGCTGACGGTAGCGGCCGTCGAGGACAACGACAACGAAGGAGACAACGACGGCGACGACGACGACGACGAGTTGGCCAAGCTACCGAAAAAAGTGCTGCTACGTGTGGAGGCGCTGCGCAAGCTTCATGAGGCTCAAGCTGAAGTCGAGGAGGAGTTTGAGAAGGAGCGCAAGGCGCTCGAGCTCAAGTACGAGAAGCTGTACCAACCGTTCTACCAGCAGCGCGCCGATATTGTGTCGGGAGCGAAGGAAGTGGATGCTGTCGCAGCCGCTGATGCTGAGTCCCTGCCGACGAGCACTGAGTCTGGGGAGGAAGAGGATGTGAAGGGCGTGCCTGGCTTTTGGCTGCGTGCGTTCATGAATCACTCGGCCTTAGCTGACCTCATTCATGAGCGTGATTTGCCCGCGTTTGAGTTCTTGAAGGACGTGCGATCGACCAGCCACGAAACGGACAATGGCTTTAAGCTCACGTTTGACTTTGCTGACAACCCTTTCTTTTCCAACAAGACGCTGACGAAGGAGTACGACATTGGGGACGCTTCGGAACAGGGCGAGGCCGTGCTGCGCAATGTGGCGGGCACTGTGATTGAGTGGAAAGAAGGCCAGAATCTGTGCCAAGTGACCAAGAAGGTGAAGCAGCGTGCGAAGGGTGGAAGGAGCGGATCGCGTGTCGTGAGCCGCACGGAGCCTTGCGAGAGCTTTTTCCAGATTTTCGCTCCCGTGGAGATGCCGTCAGAAGAAGACGACGAAGATGTGAGTGGTTGCATCTCTGCTCTGCTTGTATTGCGAAGCCCACTTACTGACTGCACGTGTGTTTATACTTGTTGCAGAGTGAGATGATTATGCGCCAGCTGAGCGACGACTTTGAGATTGGCTTTACGATCCACGAGACGATCATCCCGCAGGCTTTGTTGTGGTTTACTGGCGAGGCCGTGGAGAATGACTCGGACTACGATCCGGAGGAAGAGGAGGACTATGAGGAGTCAGACGAGGAGTCGCTCTCGAGCGACGAGGCCCCCAAGCCTCGTCGAGGCAAGAAGAAGTTCCCTGCACTCGAGAGCGACGCGGCCTCGACGGAGAAGCCACCAGAGTGTAAGAATCAATGAGGTGTGTCAGGCGTCGCCCCCGATAGAGTCCGCGCGGTCAGTTGAGAGGAGCGAATGTATAACGTCACTTGACAAGCGAGTTGCCCACTGTAGCGAACGAACGGCGCGCGGTGCCGAACGTGCTGAACGTGCAGAACAGATGTGTAAGAAAGAACGGGCAACGACGTCTTGTTGCCACACGGCCGCTCGCTCAATCGCTCGCGTTTGTCCCATCCATAGGTACATCGATCGCCTCTTTCCAATTGCGCTTTTGACATTCGGTCGACTTGTCCTCTCCCTCCGCTCGGTCGGTCGCTCGCTCGGTCGGTCGGTCGGTCGCCACTTTCGCACACTCGTCCACTCTGTCTCTTTCAAAGACGCCGTCCACGAGTCCGCCCGCCGCCGCTCGCCATGTCGGACGCCTCCTCGTGCCGCCTGCCGCGCGACTTGGGCATCTTTGACTTCTTCCGCAGCCGCTCGTTGTCGCTGGGCCGTCGCGAGTCGCACCGCCCGACCTCCCGCGCGCCCGTGCGCGAGCCAAAGCCCGCGCGGCACTCGATCGCCGCGTCGTCGTCGATGCCGCCGCCGCGCGCACCCGCTGCGGAGCTCCTGGACGTCTCGCAGACAGCAGCGGCCTCGTGCTCGGCGTTCGTGCCGCCGCTGTCGGAGATTGCGCACGCGACTGCGACTTCGGTCGACTCGCTCAGCACGAACGACCACTTGAGCGACGACGACAGCGACAGCGACAGTGACACTGGGACGGCCTCGACGGGCGACTGCAATAGCGAAAGCAGCTGCAGCAGCAGCGCCCTGGGCAGTGCGATCGTCAAGTACGAAGTCGTGCACGAGCTCGGCCGAGGGGCGACGGCTGTCGTGCAGCTCGCTCGGCAGCGCGACGGAGAGGAGTTGGTGGCGCTCAAGGTGTTCAAGACGTCGCTGCTCAAGAAGATGCGCGACGTGAAGCGCGTTGGGCGGCGGATGGTCGTGTCGACGGCGCTGGACAAGGTGCAGATGGAAATCGCCATCATGAAGAAGCTCCACCACCCGAATCTGTTGAACTTGTTGGAAGTGTTTGACGACGATGCCGAGACGCTCGTGCTGATGTTGGAGTATGCGCCGTCGGGACAAGTGATGCAGTGGTACCCTGACGAGAAGGTGTACAAGAAGACTGGCGGCCAGCGCGAAGCTGCTTGCTTTCGTGAAGACGAGCTACGCGTGTGTGTGCGACAGCTGCTGCTGGGGCTGCAGTACCTGCACGAGAACAACATTTGCCATCGCGACCTCAAGCCGGAGAACATCCTCGTGGGCCAGGACGGCACGTACAAAATCTCAGACTTTGGCGTCGCGCACTTTTTCGAGGAAGAAGACCGAGCAGCCAAGCTACAGTCTTCTTGTGGCGAGGCGTCTGTAGCGGCATCAAAGCCGCATCGGAAGGGTTACGTCTCGACAACCGCCGGCACCTATGCGTTCATGGGCCCGGAGACGCTCAAAGGGGGCGAGTACAGTGCCTATGCAGCCGACATTTGGGCGCTGGGCGTTACGGTCCACGCCCTGGCGCTTGGCGCGATTCCGTTCTACGATCCAGACGTTGTGACGCTCTTCGAGATGATTGAGAGCAGTCCAGTGGCGCTGGAAGAGAAGGCAGGAGACACCGGCCTTGGCGAAGGGCTGGTCGAGCTGCTAAACGGTTTGCTGGAGAAGGACCCCGACAAGCGCTGGTCGCTGCAGAAGTGCAAGGAGCATGCGTGGGTGCTACAAGGCCTGTCGGATAAAGAGCGGAAGGAGTACGTCGAGACATGTTACGAGGCGGTCACGGTGGGACCAGACGAGCTCGCGTGTGCCGTCACACGCGTGGTATCGCTGAACGTGATCCTGCGCGTCAAACTGGGCGCCAACAAGTGGAAGCGCAGGGCGATGCAGACACTCAAGGAGCGGCGGCGGTCGCTGGAAACGGGCCACAAGGACAGCGACAAGTCGGACGCGTCTCGGCCGTTGGGCTCGTCAGTCCACCCGCAATCGCCTAAACCGATCGAGAAAAAAGAGGACCAGGCGTCGACTACGGCCGCTGAAGTCTCCAGCGCTCAGCTCGCCATTTAGCAACGACCCCTGTGGTGCCGTGTCGTTGTTCGTACCCAATTTGTAAGAAACCTACCCATTTGTCGTCCCTCGTTGGTTTTTATCCCCAGTCGATTAGAAACAAGATTTGCTTTTTTCTCCGGAACTTCGCGTTGTGCGACATGTCGCGCCATCCCGTGCCCCTGTCGTCGTACCAGGCGTCGTCCCGCGACATGTACTGCCGCAGCAGTCGACCCGAAGACGCGTCCAAGCGCTATCAAGACACACCGCCGCCTCTTGCTCGTGAACACTATGGCATGTACGCGTCTGTTGCCCATACGCGGCAGCAGCCGCATCGCTCGCAGCAGCACCGGTCCAGTACGAGCAGCGACAGTCGCAGTCACTCCGACTCTACCGCCAAGTCGGCCTCGTGGAATGACACAGGGCGGTACACGCTGCAGCTGGTGGCCTATCGGTCCATTTACGTGCTCCAGGGCGCGTTCATGGGCATGTTGGGTCCTGCGCTGGTGTTTTTCTCGGAGCAAGCAACGAAAGCGTCAGGAGTGGCGACGCCAGTGTATGGATTCGGCCCCATCTTTGCCGCCCACGGAGGCGCTGCACTCGTCATGAGCTTCATGAGCGACTTTGTGCTCACGTACTGTACGGAGAAGAAGTGGATGAAGCAGCTGATCGTTGCTCTGCTGCTCTGCAGCGGCACGTGGTACGCGTGTTTGACTTCAGTTGCTGTAGCCGCGGGCAACGTGGGCGTGGGGCTCTACTTTATTGCCAAGGGATTCTGGACGGCATTGCTCAACATTGCGTACGTGTGTCTGTCCAGCTGTCTGTTTGTCCATGTGTCTGTCTGGCAGTCTATTTGGCGGTGTTAATGCGTGGCAACAGAAGCTGCAGGATCAGAGTCTATACTGACAGAACATGGATACGGTTGGCGTTTTGTGGTGTAGACTGAACCGCTGTTCTCTATGGATTGCGGGAGCAAAGAATCCACAGAGGCGCAGCATCATCACGTCGATGAATATCAACTACGGCTTTGGCTGCGTACTGGGTGCTATTGGAGCGTTGGTGCTTACTAAGCTGGACATCGACTTGGGCTATGCATTCTTTGGATTAGCTATCTTGACGGTGTTTCCGGCAGTGCTGGTCACGGTGCTACCTAGTCCGCACAATTTTGATGGACGCGACGAGCATCAGACGCTGTTGTCGTCCGAGGACCCCACTCGCCGTGTCCCTGCGGTACCTAGTCCGATCGTGGGAGGTGTGTTCTTGCACGCTAAACACGTCAGCGGCTCAAAGAACTGCAATCCGGATACCTACGATTCGAAGAACAACTTTATTATCCTGCTCGTGACCATCTCCGCCACTGTGCTTTTCGGAATACAACTCGGTCTCGCAGCCTTTTTGTACGTTTACATAGGCACGGTGTTAACGGGAGGCAAAAAGACCGTGCAAAGCGAGGCATTGGGCTCCAATAGCAGCGGCAGCAGCAGCAGCGTAGAGCTTGGTGACAGCCAACGCGCATGGCAATGCGCGATTATGGTGCTGTTTTGGGGATCGCTGACGGTGTCATATGTGGTGCTTCCGAGGTTTCTGTTTCACGATAAGAACCTCTACTCCATCGTGGTTTGCACGGCGGTGTGCGGGGCAAGCTCGTTTGGTCTCCTGTTTGGCACTGAGGCAGGCCTCGCCACCTTTGCGGCGTGTCTCTTCTTGTTCTCGTCTGCTTTGGCTCCGCTCTTCACGCTCAGCATTCACTGCTTGACTCGCGTGATCAACGAGCAGCTGATCACGCGCGTGTCATCGCTCATTGTGTTTGGCTGCGGTATGGGCGAGGTGTTCATTCCAGTGCTGATGGGCTTCTTCATGAGTGGTCAAAGCGGGCAGGCAAACGGAGCCGTTGCCGTGAGCTACATCACCTTTATTCTCGCGCTGACGCTCGTGGGAGTGAGCGGTGTGCTGCTTTGGATGGTGAAAGCACGACTGAAAGAGCTGCCGGAGCCTATTGACGAGCTCGAGGGCAACAGTGAAATGGGTCGGATGCGCGCAGCTCGAGCTAGCCAAGTTGTCCGGGAGGCCGTACACTTTTAATTTGAACAACTAGCAAGGACATTCGTGTCGTTTCATGCGATGGACAACACGTTGGACTTGAATGAGCACGACCGCTATATCTGCCGAGAAGATGTAGAAGCATTCCGTTGTATTTGTTTGTACCTGCGACTTCCAGCATCCATATGGAGCACAGCATGTATCATTACGCTGGACAACAACATACAGAAGTTACTGGAGTGTTTTTAGAGGACCTGTAAGTCGTGTGGGTTCTGCTGCTCGATTGGCTTACCGATTTTCTCGCACCGTACGGGTCCAACACGTTACAATATTACAAGCCGTATCTGCTTTTCTGCAAGTGTAGGCTATGAATGGCAGTCGATTTTAGATTATGATATTAACCTCGTCAGAAATCCTAAATCATGCTGTAGAAATAGGAAAGATAGGCCGCAAGATTTCAAAATTATGGGAATATAAAGCTGTGTAAAAAAGGAATAGTACGCTAACTCTCTCACTTGTTAACCTTATTGAAAAAAACTCACGATAAACATGGCCCCATCTTTACACAACGCAACATCGTCTCCACGCCACTCAACAAGTTTGGTCTTCGTACATATTAGCAGTTTTCATTCTATATATAAAAATAAATAAGACTGCATCAAAAATTATCACGAAAAGTAGAAAGGTACCACAAAGAAAAAAATACAGATAGAGCACCACATGATTATAAGAAAACGGGCACCACTGATGCATAAATGCGACCGGATATAGACATGCCTGCCCACGTAGATCAATTCTAATTCCCCTTTCATTACATTGAATAAAAACATGTATAGTCTTCCCCCCGATAAGTTATGGGTACAGTGGACGACAGCCACCATAACTTAGCAGAGGTTATAACTTATTGATTTTTGTGTATCGTACACAACGAAACTCAATCAATTGAGTGATAGAAAAACGAGCTTGGCACCCAATCCACCCCCCACTTCTCTTAAGTACAAGCCAAAATCCATCCCTAAGGCTTTCACTGCTTCAACAGAACAAAAGGCTCAGGGCCCTGGCTAGTTTGCTAGCTTCCCAACGATATGAGACGCACCCATATAGCTCCTTTCGTCTGAGCTAACAATTATTACACAGGGAAAGCCACATATATACATTTTTAACCGTGTCTTGCCTGTCGGTGTGATATCTGAGCCGTATAAAATGTCGCAGATCCGTCTTACCAATGGACAACGTCTGCAAATATGCAAACACAAGGATGGGAACCCAGATTTATCTCAAACGGCACTGGCGAAATAGGCTACGGTGGAGTTCGGCCTTGCCAAAACGCTGTCACAGGTACCAATCAGCAATGTCTTTCGAAAGCGGTCTAATCTGGAGAATATGGATCCAATCAGCTTAGATGCAAAGCGACAGCGACTGGTTCAACATCCCATACTGGAAGGAGATATGTCTCTTTGGGTCCTGCAATGTCAACACCGCGGAAAGATTATCACCGGGGATATCATCTATGCGAAGGCTCATCGGCTTGGTCAATTGCTTGGTACTCCTGACGACGCCATCACTTTCTCGCGCGGACGGCTTCATTATTTCAACAACGTCACATGCTCATCGCTATCAACATTTACGTCGGAAGCGGCTCGGTGTACGTAAGGGCTATGAATAAAACTCTGCCTAGTGTAAAGAAGGTCATCGCTGAGTACGCTCTGTGTGATGTTTACAACATTGATAAAACCGGTAAATTTTGTTTGTTATACTTCTGATTGAAACCGAGTCTGACAAAGATAATTTGCAGGACTATACTACAACATGACACCTGACAGGACTGTTGCATAGCAAGGACTAGAAGGAACAAGAAAAACAAGGTGAGTATATTGTAGGATGCTTGTTGCCATATACTAACACAAGGGTATACACTGACATCCTATGCAGTCGCGAATTACAATTGCTCTCACTGGAAATGCTGATGGCTCTGACAATCTGCTGCCTTGATTCATCGGGAAAGCCAAGAAGACCCGCTTCTTTGACAAGAAATTAGGTCAAGCACATGAATTTCTTTATCGCAACAACACAAAGGCTTAGAGGACGGGCGTGTTCTTCCGGGAATGTATTGTAAATCTAAACAAAACAATGAAGGTGCGTATTAGAATAAGAGAACTTATTATTCCAATATTGTATTGTTTCAGATCAAAAGTAGAAATATCCTTCTATTTATTAACAATGCTGCGTCGCATATGACGAATAACCTTACGTTAACTAACGTCAAGGTTCAGCTGCTTCAAACACGAACGACCTCCATGATTCAGACGATGGATGCTGGTGTCATTTCAGCGTTCAAGCGGAGGTATCGCCGTTACCATCTGCAGAATGCGATCGACTGAGACGAGCGCAGGAAAGTTTTTAAACATACAAAATCAACCAACTTACTTCCATGCGCTGGTCAGTGGCTGCCTAGAACGAGATTTCGAGCACTATCGTTGCCAAGTGATTCATACACACGGGGCTTTTTCTACTTATTGGGTCATTTCGAGTGCAGTGGGGGTGGAAAGGAGTAAAGATAGCGCAACGGAGGTCGAGGAGAAGAAATTGAGCTGGAGCAAGAGCTGATAGCACAGCTTAAGAAACTGTGTATACGATATCCCATGAATAATTCGGAGATTCTTGATCTCATCGAAGAAAATGAGACTGCTCATCCTGAGCTAACCGAAAACGGGATTCTAAAAGATGTTTTGTAGGCAGATGATGATGAGGAAGACATTAAAGATGCGGCACCTGTTTCAGAAACAATTACCAGAACCGAGAAATTTAATCGCCTTCGTGATTCCTGCTCCGTGCTTGACGTATCCCAGGAAGTCATCAAGCTGCTCATAAAGTCCTTTGCAACCTCCAGCTTGATCTTCGCAACACTCCCACCACCCAAAACCACACTCGAAATGTGGTTCAAGTAGTTTCCGCTTTTATAATACGAAATCAAGTGCTCATTTTAAAGCTGTATTGCCCTATTTGATCATTACTTTAAACAAATAATTTAGCGGCTATCGAACGAGGTCCGTGGACGCGAAAATTGATAACCTACTAGAGGTTATAAATTATCGAAGGAAATTTTATCAGAGGGAAGACTGTACATCTAAATCATCAACAGACGTATCGCATGAAGAAAAGATACGTCGACGACTCAAGCGTAGCCTAAAAGAGTTGTTTATCATTCTAAGGTGAATCCACGTACTTCTAGTTTTGTTGTTCAGCTGTAGGGATTTGACTTCGTATTTATATGAAGGTGTCGTCTCGGTCGAATTGTGGCAAAGTCACTAATCAAATTTTGGGACGTGGATCGGTGGACACCCAATTGAGGCGCTACTTACTGGTGGAAAATGGCACCAAGTGATCTAGAGATCCTATAGGAGATGGAAGGTGATCCTAAGGAGATGAACGAACCGATCCAAATGTCGACAGAATGATGGATGTGGAACAATCTGAGACGAGGCGTACAAAGGGGGATGATTTTCATGGAGCAATCTGGGACGAGTCGCAGGTATAGATGCTTTCCATGGTGCGATCTGGGACCAATTAATGCGATGTGATCCTGTAACCGAGGTGCGACATCCTGCAGATCGGTGATACTCTTTACCAGTCCCACAATGGGAATACTGATTTTGGTTAGTTATAGCCCGATCTGGAAGTGTAAACACTAATGAGAGTCCAGATGGCTATTTCAAGACGTGTGGATGGTCCCGCTGATCAGATAAAATTTGAAGGATGGTACTGGAGCACACACGATGAACGGGAGAATGTGTACTGTTAAATTATACTGTGTCGATCCTCAATTATCTCGAATCGAGCATCAGATCGGTCTTGTTCTCTATGGATTACGAATATCTCGTTGATGGATCCCTTGGATCATGACGAACATGCTTGTTGAAGGTCCATGATTGATGTCACAAAAGTTAAGACCGAAAGAGCCAGTGGAAGCCGGTCGAATTGACGTCGCAAAATGGATCTAGACACATTCGGCATTTAAATACTATTTTGGACTTTTCGGTACCCAAAATTGGATATTAGGTACCGTATTTGGAATTTTAACTCTTTTTGGTGTCTAGGTACGATATCGGGAGTATGGGCGCTATCTTTGGAGCACAGGTCACGAAATTTCGACACGTGTTCAAGGGAGCGGTCAAGCTTAAAGGTGATATCAGTTTGGAGAGTGACCTACGGTTGGGAATAGGCTTAAAGATAGGTTGGCTAATAATTGGGTGGTAAATAAACAGACTTGAACTCTACTTCTTCTGCACACGACGCACGTTCCTCCCCTATTCTCCGGGCAAGATTGATTTGGCTACCCCGAAGGTTTAAGGCACGCGTGCTACATGGACATTGAAGTTCAATCTTGTATTGTTGGCCAAGATCGAGAAGAAAGATCTCGGGAAGTTTGGCCCGGATCGATCAAGTACTCACTCTCAACTCAACTGCTAGGGTAGCAGTGTGGTGAAGTCGATCTTACAAAATTACTTTCGTGAGGGTCGATCTTCCACTTTCCCAGACTTGCCGAATCATGGAGCGGGTACACCGATCCGTGCCTTGTTGTATAGTGTGGTGAAGTCGATCTTACAAAATTACT